GGGAAAGAAATTTTTGGAGAATGGTGAGGTAATCGGTTTATAAGAAATGTCACTGTGAAAATGGTCTCAAATGTGAGGTAGGTTAGCATCAAGCATGAAGGTACTCACAATTTAATAAGATGCCGATGTTTATGTTTGACAATCCCATTTTGAGGAGAAGTATTGGTGCAGGTGTATTGATTAATATGCTTCAATGAACGATGAGTTTTTGAAGGTGGAACTTTATATATTAATCATCCCCATCATACCAAAAAAATTTAAAATTGGTATTGAATTGAATTTCAAACATAATTTAAAATTTGATGAATCTATATGTTGTATCTAAATTATCTTTCAATACAAATACCAAAAATTTTAAAAAAAAAGAGTAATCAATGAAAGAAATCTAATATTTCAATAGTTCAAGAATATGCAACATAAAACTTGAAAACAACATAAACACAGATATTCTGCTTACTTTATAAGATAAATAGAACATTGTAGGAGTGGCCAAGAACTCATTACCATAAGCCCAATGGCTTGAACTGACATGACAGAAAAGGCAACTAAAGGGTTGGAGTTTGTTGGAGGGTGACAATCAAAATAAACACCCTTAAGACATGCTTCCTCGAGGAAAAGACAAGTGGTATGTAAGTCCATTATTTGATAATCATTGGAAGAGAATGAAAAAGTGCAAGGGTCATCTACAGTGCATCGATGAATTGAAAGTAGATTGTAGGAACATGTGTGGTACATTTTGAAGACTATATAGGAGTAACATGTGGTTGTGAGTAGGGCTGTCAAAAAAGCTCGTTGTTAGCAAACAGCTTGTGTTCCGCTCGTTAAGTAGCTCGTGTTTGGCTCGTTCGTTAAGTAAACGAGCCCAAAAACAAACAAGTTTTTAAAGCTTGAATTATAAACGAGCCGAACACGAACAACTCTTTGTTCGCTCGTGTTCGGCTCGTTTTAGCTCGAAATAAAAAAAATTATATAATTATTTATATTTAAGTTTAAAACGTAATAGCTCGTGTGGTAATGTGGCTATGTGCCTTTTTTTTCATACATTTGGTCCAGGTTTGAATTCAATATTTTACATCTATTTTTTTCAATTTAATTTTATTTTTATAAAGCGAGCCGTTTACGAGTCAAACACGAACATAGTGTTCACGAGCCGATTTTGAACACGAGCAGTTTCAAACAAGCCAAGCCTGAGCTCGCTCAAGCTCGGCTCATTTATAACCCTAGGTGTGAGAAGAATTCCATTGCTATTGTTGTTTATAAGAAGATGTTGACCATTGCCTAGAATGACCCGGTTTGTGCTACGACACTCTTCGGATTTGCTAATGTGATTTAAATTGAAGATAAGGTGTGAAGTGCAATCATTATCAAGATATCAAAGATAGACAGAGCTACAATGTCGGAGAATAAGATGAGTGTTTGACAGAAAGTTATGATTGAGATCTTCGTTTCTATTTGAATTAAATACTACCCTATTGGATTTGGATAAATCGATGTTTCGCCCTCTAAATGGCCAATATGGAATGGATGATTGCATCCTCTCCCTCTGGCAATAGTAAGAGCAATGGGGGAATCAACTACTTGCATCGCTTGTAGATCACGAGCAACCTCTTAGGCCAAATTTAATTATTCATCGCATAAAAGTGTGAAAAGATAATTTAGACTTACAACCTAGAGCTTAGTTCTTAAAGTTGTCTTGAAAGCCCGATAACTTGCCAGTAGAATGTTTAATGTGTATATTTCTTTGGGGGATCAATAAGAAAGTTGGTAGCAACAATGTAATTTATTTTGACTTGATCAAGGAAATATATTGGGTAATTATCGGATCTTTCATGGAAATATAATAAAGTTCATCGTTTAATTGAATAATACGAGAGTGATTCGAAAACTATAATCAATTTTAGATAGTAAGCAAAATGTTAGTGCAAGAGTCAAGGAAAAGCACGGAGTATTGGAAGCTGGAATAATCGAATAGAGACAACTACAAGATTTTGATCAATTTAAAGCCACTTAATATTGCTGCTATTAGGAGTTAGCGAGCCATTAGCTCCGGAAATAAATTTTGATGGACATGTGATCAATCAAAAAATCCTTCAATCCCATTAGCTCAATATAATTTAATGATCTTTTAACAACATGTAGAGTGATTTTAGGTGTGATTTGATTGGAGATAACATTATTTACAAAACTTCAGTTTAGATGGAATGGGATTGTCTATAAACAAAAAAGCAGAGCTCATCGTTGAGTTTGTACTATAAGAAAAAGAGCTTGCCTAACGATTCATAAGGTAAGATATATTGTGAAGAAAAATTACTAGATTGGAAAAGAGAGATGAAGTTATAGAGCCTCAATGCTCTGGTAACATGAAAGCTTAAACAGATAGCTAAATTAAGCATAAAAGAGAGAGCTGCTAAAAAGGAAAGAGCAAACTAGAATCAACTATTTCTTACCATCACCACTGTCATTTTTGCCAACCTTGTGGCCGTATCATGCAAATTGCAATTTTAAAGGATATAGTTTCAACTTGAGGAACAACTATCTCATGATATCAAGCAATTTCAAACAAAGAAATTTATATCAAGATACTTCAATCGAAATTTAATATTTAATTTATTTTGAGATTAATGACTAACTAAAAAATTTTGAATAATATTTATTTTGTAGTAAATTCAATAGGTATACAACTCATCTTGATTAAAATTTGATAGCATTATACTAATCCAACTGTTTTTTATTTTAAGCAAGCTTCATCATAGTGTAATGATGATAATGGACAGGTTAATGAAAATTGAAGTGTCACTTTACATAGCAACAAAAAGCCACTCTGATCAATACTAGTAGTTTTAAGCAAGTTTTTGAAAATTGAACCGGTCATTAAACGGGAAAAGAAAGAGTTCAAGTTTTAAATATTCAATCGATGTTGAACCATGAGTTGAAATGTATAATGTAATAAACATGAAATTTGTTTAAATATTATTTAAATGGTTTAATAATTATGTAAATATGTGAAAATTTTTTAAAAAAAAACTGTATTATAGTGTGATAAAAAAAAATCTTATATAATTTTAAATTTAAACATCTTCTAGTTCTGATATTACTTTCAATTTATATCTTATAATTATAATTGAAATCAAAAGTGCAAGAGGCAAATTGAGTATGCAATCGGGGTATTATTTAATTTAAAACTAAATTTTAACAGCTTAATACAAAAAATAATGACATTATATGATCATAACTATAAGAAACACCCGGTTCAATGAAATAGTAATCAACACCTCAATTTATATTGTTTAGCTGTCGATTCTATCCGGTTTTGGTCGGTTGGATGCTATGGCAGTTTTATTACTGGACCAAACCAAGTGGAAGACTGGTTCACGGTTGAATCTGTTGAACAGGTCGGTCTGCCCGAAATTTAAATCGTTGGTTTTAAGTTGAAATTCACTTGAATCTACCATACCATTTAAGGAAGGAACATCGCATTATCAAGGAATGTTTCAAAGGTGGAAGTGTAAGCTCAAAACAATTCCTCCAAGTCCATCAGGAAGATAAGTCACAATATGTACCAACAGGAATTATCTACGGTATGAAAATCTATTTGCCCATGAATATGAAAAATAATTACAGTGGAGTTACTTTAAATCCCGGGCAACGCAACAAAACTGCAAAATTTAATGGGAAAAAAAAAACTGTTTGACGAAACTTAAGCTAAATCGAACTTAAATCCTGCAACCAAATATCCCCTTGCACATAATGGATGTTTCTAATTTGTAGGTTTAGTCTGTCGTATTAAAATCGAATGGATATGAAAAAAAAACAATATTGCATTAACAATAACTGCGTGAACTTAAATGCATGATAAGCATTACCAATAAGTGCGCCGAAACCCGTATGGCTGCCAAGCACCAAATCCCTTCCTTTGTAGGAATGAGAACTTAAGCGACTGAGGACCGACGGCAAAATGGCTTGTGATGCCAGCAGTCGTTACAGATGCTCTTCCTCCAAAAATCCGCCTCACGAAAAACAAATTGCAAAGTCCAGAAGAAAAATTAGTACTCCGAGCCGACCGCTGCTGAAATGATTGCCGCAAAACGTGAAAGGAGGGAACAGACTCCAGTGACCGCAACGAAGGCCTAAGAAGAGCATCGTACGAGGAGCCTCCACTCTCAATAACAACCGCCGATTGGCGGAGCAGCAGCTTATTAAGACCGAAAAACCGCTGCATCTCTTCGAATTCAAATTTGCTTCGCAGAGAGTATCGGAGAGGCCGACCACTTCTACTCTCGCGGCCCTACTTGGTCAGATCTGATACAGTCCGAGCCATGCAAAACTTAGAGCCATGGCGAATAGGGTTTTAGCTCCTCGACTTCGCTGAGACACTTTTTCCATGGTGTACATACACCATCACCGATCTCCACAAAATTTGACGGCCCAAAAAATAAAAGTACAATAAGAGAAATAAGAGAAGGCTCATTAACAGGAGGCCGGAATGCCCACTTAACAGGTCAAATGCAGTCCTCTCAGCCAATTCAAGAAAGACTAAAGTTGATCAAGTCATGAAGATAGTTAAACGATTAGAATCCAAACCCATCAGACCAAAACAAGACAAACAAGCATCCCAGATAACCATCATCAAAAATACAAACGAAGGCATTGACTTACCTCTAGCCCGAGAAAAAAATCAAGATCATTGTAATCACAAATCATCCCACAGATGCCCCCAAGATTTTTCATCAGAGACCAATAATTGACAATCAACCCTAAAGTTATGTAATCAAACAAGCAAAGCACACATGTAATAAATTAGGTTGTTTGTTAATAAACATTTAGTTTAATGTCCTTAGGCCAATGATTTTGATTATATTACTATGATTGACTTAACTTTGTCAGCTCTTTATGTCTATCTAAATCACCTCCTAAACATGGCTTTAACCTTTGGCCCTTTTCTTTAACGGTTTGAGAGGTGGTTGGGATTAGGGTTTAGTGATAGATGATCATTTTTTTCATGAGAGTTTGTCATGTCTCCTAAATAGTTTTTAGTCTTTTTCAATTTTCTAATTTTTTTAAACTTTTTTTTTATTTTAAGGTTGATATGTCATTAACAAATTTCTATCATCAGACATGGATCTTGATGCATGACATGAATCTCGAGTTAACTTTTTGAGCAAGGAATGTTCAAAGTTCAATTAAAAATCATCCTCGGTAAACATATAATCAAACTAATTGGCTCGACAGGAGAAAACCAATGGTACAAAAATTGGTCTAATTCGAGACAAATCAAGCCTAGATCAAGTAGTTAAAATTATTTTTAGAAGTTTTTAGTACATAAATAAAGATCAATTAGATTTAAATCTGATAAACTTATAGTCAAATCGAGCACTCAACGAGAATAATTAAACAAACCCAAAATTACTTAATTTTGACATAATTAAGATGCTCAATTGCTCATCAAATACCGTCTAATCGTGAGAATCTTTTCGGTATGTACGACATAGTGGTTTGAATTCTTTTTTTTTATTTATAGATAGATCTCCCCTGGTTTATAAAGTAAGCTCTACACCCTTTTTTAGAGGGAATCTAGACCTTGATGCAAAAGAACACTGGAGCTTAGAAAAAGGAATTGAAGTCTAGCATCACTTCAGATTTGAAAATTTGGCAAATAACTGCCACTCTTGTAGCCATGAGCCACCGTTAACCACCACCTACGGGCCACCATCAGTCCCCCTTGACACATTATATTAAAGCTTTGTACAAAGTTAGGACTTGTGTTATAGAGTTAGAAGTAACAACCGATGTCGCAGATCACAAAGTATCCTAAGTAGAAGTGCACGATCCTGGATGTCGTATCAATCTGAAAGACAGTATATCGAAGCTCCGACAACTACTCCCCACAACATTCACTCCATATCGCAGGGCAACGAACTCTTTTGTGCATGACCATTGTAACTCAAAAAGTTGTGAAATCCTTTTTTTGCATGTGGGATAAGGATCAGTATAAATAATCACCAACTCATAAATGCTAACTTCAATTGGGCTAGACCCTATAGTTTTTTTACTTTTGGGGTTTTTCATGTAAAAATATTTGGTAATTCAACCTACTATTTTTAACACCTGAGTGTGTGATGGATTATCATGCAATGCTAAGATAATAACTCATTACTATATCACTATGAATTCCCTATCATGCATCAATTTGACACCATTTGTGGGAAATGCAATCCCACCGTTGAAGTACTTGAAATACATATTAAATGTCCACAAAACGCAATACTCGCAACAATTAATCATCCTGCTCTAACACCCATTATTCTAGGGGTCTGCCGTAGAGCCACTAACATAAGTTTGTTGCATCTTTCCACTCTCAGAGGCGTTACCCTGCTGGTGAAGGTACCTTAAGTCTCTCTCTAGAGAATTGAGTGGGCAGAATGGAGGAGTCATAGGATGAGATCCTCTCGCTCCTACATGAGGTTTGACAATATATCCTCACAAAACCGGATGGAGCTTATTTATCACCAGTTCAACAACCAATAAAAAATACCCAGTTCAACAACCAATAAAAAATACCACGCTCAAACATACTCGTACCCGGCACACTCCAAATGATGGAACCCTTCCTCTGCCATACTAGGACACTGACCTTCTCAATAATACACGTTCAACTCATTTGTTTAGTGCAGCTCACATGGCGCCACCCACCTCGCCGTCACTCCTAGTGATGTCATTCATAATGAATTACAATGTCTGGTTTGAGAAGAGTTCTATCTGAGAGAAAAGGATCACTTCCCAGCTTATTGTAACTTCCCAAAATTCTCTCCCTTTGTTGAGGCAGTCCACCAACACTCCCATACCATTGATTTTAAGATCTCAAACATTGATTCTTATGAGAGGATAACTGACCTCTACGAGCATGTCGATCACTATCAAACCATCATGCAAATTCAGCGTGCCTCTGATGCTTCTCTGTCAAGTGTTCCCTGCTACTCTCAAGATTCAGGCTCTCTCCTGCCTTCAATGAGCTTGCTAGATTTTTCATGGAGCAATTCATCATAAACCAGAGAATCATCAAAAATCCATCTCATCCCTCAAGAATTTGTCAGAATAAGAGAGTTGCACAAAAACTACATTCATAGGTTCTCCACCGAAGCTTATCTGATCCCATTAGTTGTTATCCCTCTTATAATCAACAAGTCTCACCTAAATTTTTCTATGGCTTGTGTTCAAGCTTGAAATGGCTCTCCACTCCCTTATCTCATTAACCTAAACCTCAATGTTAAAGAACTCCGCCACCATAACCCCCTCCCCCCCCACCCCTACCCCCACATATTTTTTTATGATTAGAAACCCTCCACTTACACGTGTTAGAGATCCTTCTTTTGTGAGGTCCACTTTTTCCCTCATAAACCCCTTAGGCACCATTGTTTGAAGTTCAATAATTAGAGTATTAGCAAAATTCAAGCACCTCGATACCTAAGAGACCCTCCTTCTACTGAAAGAAGAGACAACCACTCCCCTGTTACTTCCTCTCCCCCCAACCCCAACCCACCTCCCCCTCTCTCTCCCCCCACTTTACCCCTTCAATAATATCTAATAATGAGAAAATTACCTATAGTAGCCCTCCTCCCATTTCCAATACATTCTTAATGTTAACTTTTTTAAGAACTACTTTTCCTCACAATTAGGTGTTGGCTAGTACCTCGTACGCTTCCATTCCTTGCTCTACCTCTCACAACTCAAACACCAAATTTAAACAAAAAAAACAAAATCCCAAAATATTTTCACCCTTCCTTAAAACCACAAAATCCTAACGACTCTCCCAACCAAAACTGCTTGAAACAAATGTGTTTTTCACATATTAGTTAGAGCATTTTACTACAGGGAGCTCATCACTTTAACTGGTCTCAATATACTTGGCTTTCTTAACCTAGAACACACCTCCAAAATCTCTCTATCACCTACTTTATTTTATCTTATAAACTTTTTTTCCTTTAAGGTAGAATGTCATATTTTTTCTCTTTCGAGTCCGATTAGAATATGGGTCAAGTGGAACAGTGCTAAATTGGATTTTCTCCCTCTCTCCACATAGAAGTAGGCTATCTAGGATTTTCTCGCTTATCTCAGTGCATCTTTTTTTATCGATTATCTACACAACAAACCCCCATCTGAAAGGGAGGAGCTCAGGTGCCTTATCACTAGTTTTGCTAACCAAGTTGATAAGATCTAGCACTTGATGGGGGATTTTAATTGTTGACATTTCTATAACAAAAAAGTTGGAAGTAAATACACTCACTCTTAATAAGTTAAAAGACTTTAAAGACTACTTAATCCACGCCAATCTCTTCAATCTTGTTTTAAAGGGCCTTTCTATATCTGGTGCAAATATAGACCCGACTATCCCATTAGATGAAAAGTTGATAGGTTTCTTATTTTCACTTTGTATGAATGATTTTCCTACTTCATTCTCTAATGCGCTAACTCCCTACTACTATGATCATTCCCTCTTACTCGATCAATAAAATTCTAATAACATGATTGATAAGTCATCAACAAATTTCTAATATTGTCAAAAATGGCCATGAACTTGTTCAACTTAGTGGCAAGACTCCTATCTCTCACCTTTTCTATGATGATGATGTGATTGGCGTCCGTAAAGCTTCTCAAGGGAACCTCCATTTCACGCTTAATATTTTCAGTAAGATAAGTGAGCTTCAGGTTTTTTTGTTGGCAAGCCCTCTTTCACTGTACTTTTCTGTTCTATACGACTACACTCTACTCGGAACAGTATTGACAATTTTTTTATGTATAATTACTCGTTTGTTTACTACAGAAACTTTTGATTTATACTTCTGCCGGAAATACTGTTTGATCGGTTTATTTTGTAGTCTTTACTCCGTTGACCACACATGGGAGCGTTAACGGATGCCGGGCCATTTTGCTCTGCCATTCTAATCCTTTTTCTTCAGCTTTTTTGTTTGTTAATGTATTCTTTTGTTCTTTCATCTCTTTGTAATCTTTATATATAGCAAATTTGAGCACTACCTTCAATTTTCCACCACTATAAAAAACATAAAAAAGGGAAGAAACAGCAAACCGAGTTGCCAAATCGATAAGTTCATATCCATGCTTACAGTAAAGCATCAGTCTCAAGAGAAGACGACAAGGCTTAGTGTTGATCAGCTTGGTGGTAGAGCACTTACAAATTGACGAAGGAATTGAATGGTTATGAGTAGATATGACGGATCGATGAGATGATATCCACGTGCTTCTTTAAGAAAAAAAAAAAAAGAAATAAAGTACGTACTACGTACATGGATTGTAACGAGAGCTAGCCAGCTAGAGCTGTAGTTTCAGCTAAGCTGATGCCTTAGGTGGTCCTTAATCCAGCAGTGTAACC